ACTTCCAGCCTCCAGAACTGTGTGACCGTAAATTTTTGTTACAACAGCCCTAGCAAACTAATAATGAACTTAAGTGAGTTAGAACAGAACTTGAAATATAATAAACACTATAGCAAATTAACACGATAACGGGAATGATACCAAGCCTTGGCAAGGACACAGAACACGCAGACTTGTGCACTGCTGACCAGAGTGTAATTGGTATAACCACTTCGGAAAGTGTCTGGCAGCGTCTTTTGAAGCTAAGCATACCTCTTCCCATGACCCAGCAGTTCTACCCATGGCACACCTGAATTGACCTGCTGGACCACTCGGATTCTCACTAGCGGGGATGTAAAGCTGAACCTACGTGTGCAAGGGATCAGATCGGACCCTGGAGCTGAAGGTTGCATGGAAACGGGGCCATTCAGAATTCATGAAGCCAACTGCAGCCAGGAGCCAGTATGTGCAGAGAGACTGGGATGAGAGCCACTGGCCCCAGAGAGGAAAAGAGACAGAAGAAAGAGGAATGTGGGCTCTTGATATTGTTCCCCAGAGCCACTTAGCAACTGGGTGGATTGCTGACCCCATATGATGAGGGCAAAAGTAAGGGCTCAGGGGCTGAGCTGACTTGCCCCAGAGTCCACAGCAAGTACCGGGTGCAGGTCCCATTGAAACCCAGCACCATCTGGTTTTAAAAGCAGTGCTGTAAAGCACCCCCTGGGGGACACCAGAACCCCCTCGTTATATGGTACGATAGGGAAAACTGGACTCTAGAGAGAAGAATGGATAACTGGATGAATACACCCCTTTTTTAAAAAGGACTTTTCCTGTGCCGTGTTCTAACACCTCTGCCCGTGGTTCTCCAAACTCTGTATCTACCTTAGGTCTTCAGCAAGGGAGTGCTGCTCTGGACCCCATGCTTTCGAGGACTCCCCCATGCTCCTTTCCCACCGCCAGAGGAGTCTCTGGTCAAGGGGTTGTGCCCACCCAGAATCTGCACCTCCCTGGGGGATTATGCTCTATGGGCCTATGATAGACAGAATGATGGCCACCCCCAAAGGTCTCACACCCTAATACATGGGACCTGTGGATGTGTTCTCTTAGATAGAAAAAGAGACTTTGCAGATGGGATTAAATTCATGACCTTGGGGTGCGAGATGGTCCTGGATTATCGGGATGGGCCCAGTGTAGTCACAGGGTCCTTGGAAGAGGTTGGGAGGACAATCAGATCAGTCCGGGTAGGAGGTGTAACTGTGCGAGCAGTTTGAGTGACTCAGGGCCCCGAACCACGGGGTGCAGGTAGCGTTGAGAAGCTGGGAAAGGCAAGGAAACAGACTTGGGAGGGAGGACAGGGAGTCTGGTTCTCTCGTGGAACCCTGAGAACTTGGAACTCGAATTTATTAGCCTTTCTGTTTGTGAAGGTATATTTGTCAAGGCAGAGGACCCCACATACTGAATGGTTTGCTCGCTTGATTTCTTAAGTTTAAATAATTAGACATATGGTAAGGGAGCCTCCATTTGCACTCTTGTGTCAGCCCTGCAAACATTAGCAGTGGTCCTGCCCAGTCTCAGTTAAAAAAGAAAAGCCTATTATTGAAACCACCTCTTGTTAATGGTGCTTCATTAAGGGGGGGAGTAAAGGAGAAACGGGGGTGTGAAATGGGGCAGAGAACAGCAGTTATATAAGGCAAGAGAAAGCAGAGGTGACTGATAAGGAAGTGCCGAGGTTCTCAGTGTCAGAGACAAGAGGCTTGCAGAGACAGGGCTCAGGGAGAGATGGGAGATGAGACTCGTGACCCCCAGGAACTGAGAGGACACGGAGCACGGGAGAAGGAGAGGATGCAAGACAGAAGCTGCTAAGAGGCAAAATACAAACTCCACAAGGACAGGATTCCGGCAGATAGCTTGGCAACCAGTCTCTGTTTACAACCACTTCCTCTGCCATTTCTACAAAGAGGCTGGAAAGCCAACATCCTCAATTTCCCAGCTTCCCTTGCAGCTAGGAGTGGCCATCTGACACACTCTGAGAAGTAGCCACAAGTCCCTGAGAAAGGTATACTTTCCCCAACAAAAAAGGCAGGGCCTTGCCAGGAAAAAATCCTCTGCTCTCACTCTTCCTCGTCCTTCTTGCTTGGAACCAAGATATGCTCCACAGAGGTGCAGCGGCCATCTTGTGATCACAAGGCAACCAAAATGAGCATGAAGTTCTCTGATCTAAGATTAACAGAACAAATATGTGGAAAGAGTTTGGATTGCTGATGGTATCTTTGAAGTATTATACCAACCCTAGATATTTTCTTGTGAGGGAGAAGGAAGCCTCTCTGTCTGTTTAAAGTACTCCTACCGGATCCAAGAGACTTACCTAATTCGTTGACAACTGCTATCCAGTTCAGGAACTGTGCCTGGCACAGAGTTGGTGCTCTTTAAAATTGTTCTAAATGAATGAATGACTTTCATATGTATGCGAAGCCTAGCTTTACGTTCTGCAATCGGTTCTGAGATGGTGCTGATTTTTCTGTTTGTATGTTTCTTGTTCATTTCCTTCCTCTAGACCCCAAGCCCCTTGAAGGCAGGGACAACAGTCTGTATGTTCACTGCCTGACATAGAATAGAGGCTAAGAAAATAAATGCATGCTGAATAACTAAATCCTTACATTAGCCTACAGTTGGGCAAAATCATCTAACACAAAATCATCTAACATATTTTGTAAGTTAAGTGTTGAATAGCTCATGTAATTTATTCGTGCTGTGCTGAAAGTGAGAAAACACAGTGGTTGTGCGGGTACAGAATGGTTGTAAGTATATCAGTTGTTTACCCTCGTGACTGCATGGCTGACTAGGAGCTGTGGCTCACTGCCACTGCCCAGCATCCCCGGAGAGGATCACACTGCATGCTGCCAGCCCAGGGAAAGATTCAGATTCAAAACTCAAAGTATGGTTTCTACTGAGTGCACATTGCTTTTGCACCATTGTAAAGTTAAAAAATCCTAGATCAAACCATCATTAAGTCAGGGAGCATCTGTACTGATTCCAGTGAGTCTAGATCTAATGATAACTACAATGACAGTAATAATAGAAGACACCTACGGTGTGCCAGGCACTTTTCTAAACCTTTTGCATAGATTAACTAGTAATAATCACCATAATAATATAATGTTATATTAATTAATAAGAATAGCAACTATAACAATTCTTGTAACAACCTTATGAGGTGGGTCCTCTTGTTACCCCTATTTTGCAGAGAAGGAAACTGAGGCTCAGAGAGATTAAGTGACTTGTCCAATGTCACACAGCCAAGAAGGGACAAAGCCAGGATTTGAATCCTGGCAGTCTGGCCCCAGAATCCATAACTACTGGACCCCTGAAAACATCAGAAGGACCCTACTTCTGGAAGGGGGAGTTCATTGCCACCCCCGATGACCTTTGCCTTTTAAGCTGACCCATCCCTGGCTGACCTCTGAGACTGCTGAGTAACCCCCAACTCCTGGCTGCTTCTGTGCATCCTCAGGGCCCCCAGGGCCCCCCCAGCTCCCCAGCCCGCATCTGCGCTGACCCTGCCTTGAGCTGAGTGAGCGCTTCCTCTACGCGGGGCTGGTTGTAGCGCACCATGTAGCTGTGCATGTCGGGGTAGTTGCTGCGAATGTTCTTCTCCGTGGACCCATTGGGCACCGTCCCAAACTTCAGGGGTGGGTACTGCTCCTGGGGCCGCTGGAACTGGGGCAGAATGGGAGTCATTAGGGGGCCACCCTCCAAACACATGCTCTCTATTCTGGGGGGATACCTGCCAACTGGTGGGCAGCCCAGTCCAGAAATGTTTCTCAGACTTATTAATCGTGACTCTTTTCTACTCCCCACCCAGCACCTACATCTGCAGATATCTCCACATCTGTATGCAGATATGTGTATCTAATCAGGAGTAATACTGAAATATTTAACAAGCAGCATGGTCTGATAATAGTCCAATCAGAAGTTCAAGAGTTCGAGAAGGGTCTTGGAGTTCCCTGATGTGCCAGGCATTAACCCTTAACTTGCTGGATCATGGAAGGCCCCAGGGCAGGTACAGGCATGGTGGAGGCTGGGTGCACTTGTTATATTGTTATATAGACATAGCCAGGCAGGTGTGTGCTGGCCCAATGTTGAGTGTGTATATAACTAAAAACTTTCAGAAAACCATACTCACCCTTATTACAGCCAAACATATTTTCTATTCTATTCTATTCCATTAAGAAAATATTTGTTGCAATCCACTGAATTTATTTCTCAACCTTCTAATAGGTCAAAACACCCAGTTCACCACTTCAGTCTCAAGGTATGCTCTGCAGACCACCAGTTCCTGAACAAACTGTGATCCACGATGAGGTAAGTGCAGAAATCAAAAGTGTGAGCATTTAGAGCAATCTGACGGAATAATTTTGTGTCTGTTGAACTTAATAAATAAAATTTGGGGTTTGAGTTTTGCATGTCTTGATTTTAAATTTTATTTTACTCCCTAGTAATTCATTTCCATTGTATTTTACAGAAGCATTGGTTTCCACAGGATTAGAAATTTCACAAATTAGCCCTTCATCACAGTTTGAGCAAAGCACTGGTTTAGAATATCCCATTTGACGCTATTACCCCAAGAACATTTGGGGACGCTCTCTTCCCCTGGGAATATTTAAATAGCTCATTGTGAAACCTTTCTGCTCTGGAACATTCCATTCTACCATTTTGGAACCCCTCTGACCTCCCACATGCCAAGCTTTGTGACCTCTAGCCCCCTCTCCTCCAAAACACACACACCTTTCGGTCACTGAGCCCAGACACCGTGTCCACGTACTCCTCCTGGATCATGAAGGCAGCCAGGTTGGCTGTGTAGCTGGCAAGGAAGATGACAGCAAAGAAGGCCCACACCAGCACCATGATTTTGCTGGTGGTTCCCCGGGGGTTCTCCACGGGCACTGAGTTATTGAACACCAGGGCCCAGAGCAGCCAGATGGATTTCCCAATGGTGAAGGTTGAGCCACCAGGGCCTGCAGGGGGCCAGGAGAGGGACATGGACCCCAAGTCCCTTCTGCTCAGCAAGGAAGCAGAAAAAACTCCAATACCCAGTGGTACCCAAGGCCTCTGGCAGTTCAAGAGACCATCATTCCACCCCAGGGGCTGCTGGGAAATGTAGTTTTATCTGTGGTCTGGGCTGTGCGTTAGGGCAATGGAGGAAGGGGACTCACGCTTCCCCGTGGCCAGGCTGCGGTTGTAGCCAACGGGACTGAGGTACTCGAAGATGAAAACGGTGACGGCGACCACAGTGAGGCACATGACAAACATCATCACCCACACGGCAGGGCTGTAGGGCTCTGGGGGGAAAGGGGTGTACAGTCATGACTCAGCAAGCAAAGGCCTGGGGGACCACTTGAACACGGTACAGCCCAAATGTGACTCTGTCCCCTTCCCAGGATCCCCATCTTGTGAACAGCCTCTTTGATCACCCAGACCCCTGGGAGACAATCTCTCTCAAAGACAGCCATCTCAATCATTTCTGTGGTTTCAACCACCAAATACAAATGTCTTCTAAATTAGTTTCCTGAGCCCCAGACCCGAGTCTCCTCCTCCCCTTGGCCATCCTCCAGACCTCCAAACCCTTGCCATTCACCATGTTTCACACTGAGCACAGTGCCAGCGCCCAGGCTCCCCATCTTGGGAGCCCCACAATCCATCCAGTCTTAGCCCAAACCCCCACATTTGCCATCTTCACCCTGCCCCCCGCCCCGGCCTTTCCTTCCCTTCTCTCCCCTGGACCATCTCTCCAGTCTCTCCTCTCTAGCCCGCTCCCGTCCCCAAAGGCCCTAGAGGCCCCTTCTACACCCACAGATGAGCTGGCCGCCTCCCCGCTCTGTGGTTCCCCAGTGCCCCCAGGACAAAGTCCCCACCCCTCAGCCTGGCTTCCACTGACCTCTGCAGCTTGATCACTCTCGCAAGAGCCCGCTGCTTTAGCCACCCAGAACTCACCGTTCCCAAACGAGCCCTCACCCTCTCTTCTACAGCTCCCCACCACAGGCGCCCCCCTAACCTCTCCATCACACAGACACGGGTTCATGTGTCCCCGCTTCACATTGCCTCCGGAAGTTCACTGACAATAAATCTGAATCACCACTTCCTTGGGATCAGTACCAGGTGATTTCACCTCCTAGGCCGAGTGTAAGAGCAGCCAAGACTGCCCCTGTCACAACAGCAGTGTCACTATCCTGGACTGTCACTGCGGCATCTGGGGACATGCCTGTCACCTCTGCTGGGCAATGTGGTTGGGCATAAATATGACCTTGTCGCACCACTGTTGAAGGCAGAAGCCCCACGTGGTGCATCTCAGGGTGCCCTGCAGAGACCCTGGTGCAAAGAGGAGGCCACGAGAGACATTGTTAGGGAAATATACAAAAACAAACACAAAGGAGGGTTGTCCCCTCTCCCAGCCCCTCCCGCTCCCAAAGCACTGCTCAGACTTCAGACAACAACAGGGAAGTGACAAGACCTGCTGCCCTCGGCCCCAAGTACGCATTTCTTTCTGTCATCTCCAAGCTCAGCAAATGAGAGCTCTACTCAATCCGCGGCTCCCGAACCACATCCCAAGCCTGCTTACTTGCCTCTCCCTCCCTGCCATCATCCTGGCCCACTCCCCCATCCTCTCTGCATGGATGGTCGCAGTAGCCTCGTCACTCCACAGAGCTGCCAGTGGGATATTTTAAAAGCCTAAATCTGATCGTACATCTCCACACTACCATCTGCAGTTAAAACCCTTGCTAGTGCAATAAGAGTAAAATCCAAACTTCCTACTGTAGCAACCAGGGCCCTGTGCCCTCACCTCCCCCAACTCTCACCCGCTGCCCCCCTCCAGCCACAACGGACTTCCGCTATTTCACAAACACTCCACCCTTGTTCCCACCTTGGAGCCTTTGCCTTTGCTGTTCCCTCAGCCTGGAATGCTCTTCAGCCAGATCCACACCGGACTGGGTCACCTCCTCAAAGCCCTCCTGCCCACCCATGGCAGCACCAGTCCCATTCCTCTCCATCTCTCCGCCGTGGCTTACTTTCTCATGGTATTGATCACCATCTGAAGTCATCTCGTCCTTGTACCCCTTTAAGACCTTTTTGTTCTGTCTCCCCCGTGAGGTGGAGCGCCCTTAGAGGGCAGGGATTTGTGTGCACCCCAGAGCCTGGCACACAGTAAGTGCTCAATAAACACTGGTGGATGAACTGAGTGCTTGTACCACATTCATCTCTTTTCCTCACCTCATACTTATATACGAATAAGACTTGCGGTTGGGAGGTCCTGAAGCTTATATAATTTGGAGGGCTCTCTTTAAGAAAAAAAGAATACAAGACCAGGTACAACGCCTTGAACAGATTGTTCAAGAGAAGCTTCTTGAGGCTCCAGTTTCCTTAGCTTCATGGCAAAATGGTAGGGGAAATTATTTCTCCCATTTTACAGATTAGGAAACTGAGGCTCAGAAGTGCTATCATTTCACCGAGTCACAACAGTGGTACAGGCAATTCCAGGATGGGAATTGTGCCCACAGAGTCCCCCAGCCTTGCCATCCCGGGGCCCGGGCTCACCCAGGAAGGCCGAGGGGGACACGGTGCCATTGCTGCGTGCCACCATGACGCTGATGCCTGTCTCCACGAAGGGGACAGAGAAGTCCACGATCTCCGACCGCTCCTCGTTGATGGTGAGGGAGCCGATGGCCATGTCGGCGCGCTGGTAGAACACCTGGGGTGAGGGCGAGGAGTGGGTGAGGAATCTTGGCTGGCCNGGAGCATTTACCCAGTCATAATATGTAAGCACTGCATATTCATCTAGCCAGAATCACAATGTGGGAGGCGGGAGTAATTTAAATAAGAGTATGAGCGTGTGTCTTCCATAGTGAGAAGTGAATGGAAAATGCCTAAAATTGAAAAATCAATAGGTGGCCATACAAACATGCGTTTAGAGACAGAGACATAAATATCAAAATGGTACAATAAATGAGGTGGAAGCAGATTCCTCTGAGGTGGGAGAGATGGAGGGCAGGCAGAAGGGAAACTTGTTGGTTTCCATTTAAAAAATCTGACTTGACTCCCCAGACCATGTGGATGTGTAACTGATAAAAATAGAACTAAAAATGAGGAACACTGGGGAGAAAAAGAAGTTAGCAGACGCAGGAAATCAGAGCAAGAGGTGTCAGTGAGAAACAGGTGTCCTTTGTGAATCCAGGAAGCTTCGGGCGAAGGGCCTGGGGAGGGACCCAAGGACGGTGACCCGGCTTCCTGCTGCCTTGTGAGGCGAGGTAGTATAGTGGTTGAGGGGCTGGGATCAGAATGGCCAGGGTTCAAATCCCAGCTCTGCCACTCAGCGGCTGTGGGATCTTACAGTGCCTTAGTTTCTTCATCTATAAAGTGGGAATAATACTAATAATGTTCACCCATGAAGTGTTACGTGTTGACTGTGTCCCCTAACACTCCTATGTTGAAGTCCTACCCCAATGCCTCAGAATGTGAATTTAGTTGGGGATAGGGTCTTTACATAGGTTAAAATGGGGTCGGGGCCCTAATCCAGTAGGATTAGTGTTCTGACAGAAAGAGTAAATTTGAACAGAGACACATGGATGGACGACGAAGGGAAGATGGCCATTTACAAGCCAAGGACAAAGGCCAACAGATCCCTCCCTCACGACCCTCTCAGAAGGAACCAGGGGTACTTCCAGCCTCCAGAACTGTGTGACCGTAAATTTTTGTTACAACAGCCCTAGCAAACTAATAATGAACTTAAGTGAGTTAGAACAGAACTTGAAATATAATAAACACTATAGCAAATTAACACGATAACGGGAATGATACCAAGCCTTGGCAAGGACACAGAACACGCAGACTTGTGCACTGCTGACCAGAGTGTAATTGGTATAACCACTTCGGAAAGTGTCTGGCAGCGTCTTTTGAAGCTAAGCATACCTCTTCCCATGACCCAGCAGTTCTACCCATGGCACACCTGAATTGACCTGCTGGACCACTCGGATTCTCACTAGCGGGGATGTAAAGCTGAACCTACGTGTGCAAGGGATCAGATCGGACCCTGGAGCTGAAGGTTGCATGGAAACGGGGCCATTCAGAATTCATGAAGCCAACTGCAGCCAGGAGCCAGTATGTGCAGAGAGACTGGGATGAGAGCCACTGGCCCCAGAGAGGAAAAGAGACAGAAGAAAGAGGAATGTGGGCTCTTGATATTGTTCCCCAGAGCCACTTAGCAACTGGGTGGATTGCTGACCCCATATGATGAGGGCAAAAGTAAGGGCTCAGGGGCTGAGCTGACTTGCCCCAGAGTCCACAGCAAGTACCGGGTGCAGGTCCCATTGAAACCCAGCACCATCTGGTTTTAAAAGCAGTGCTGTAAAGCACCCCCTGGGGGACACCAGAACCCCCTCGTTATATGGTACGATAGGGAAAACTGGACTCTAGAGAGAAGAATGGATAACTGGATGAATACACCCCTTTTTTAAAAAGGACTTTTCCTGTGCCGTGTTCTAACACCTCTGCCCGTGGTTCTCCAAACTCTGTATCTACCTTAGGTCTTCAGCAAGGGAGTGCTGCTCTGGACCCCATGCTTTCGAGGACTCCCCCATGCTCCTTTCCCACCGCCAGAGGAGTCTCTGGTCAAGGGGTTGTGCCCACCCAGAATCTGCACCTCCCTGGGGGATTATGCTCTATGGGCCTATGATAGACAGAATGATGGCCACCCCCAAAGGTCTCACACCCTAATACATGGGACCTGTGGATGTGTTCTCTTAGATAGAAAAAGAGACTTTGCAGATGGGATTAAATTCATGACCTTGGGGTGCGAGATGGTCCTGGATTATCGGGATGGGCCCAGTGTAGTCACAGGGTCCTTGGAAGAGGTTGGGAGGACAATCAGATCAGTCCGGGTAGGAGGTGTAACTGTGCGAGCAGTTTGAGTGACTCAGGGCCCCGAACCACGGGGTGCAGGTAGCGTTGAGAAGCTGGGAAAGGCAAGGAAACAGACTTGGGAGGGAGGACAGGGAGTCTGGTTCTCTCGTGGAACCCTGAGAACTCGGAACTCGAATTTATTAGCCTTTCTGTTTGTGAAGGTATATTTGTCAAGGCAGAGGACCCCACATACTGAATGGTTTGCTCGCTTGATTTCTTAAGTTTAAATAATTAGACATATGGTAAGGGAGCCTCCATTTGCACTCTTGTGTCAGCCCTGCAAACATTAGCAGTGGTCCTGCCCAGTCTCAGTTAAAAAAGAAAAGCCTATTATTGAAACCACCTCTTGTTAATGGTGCTTCATTAAGGGGGGGAGTAAAGGAGAAACGGGGGTGTGAAATGGGGCAGAGAACAGCAGTTATATAAGGCAAGAGAAAGCAGAGGTGACTGATAAGGAAGTGCCGAGGTTCTCAGTGTCAGAGACAAGAGGCTTGCAGAGACAGGGCTCAGGGAGAGATGGGAGATGAGACTCGTGACCCCCAGGAACTGAGAGGACACGGAGCACGGGAGAAGGAGAGGATGCAAGACAGAAGCTGCTAAGAGGCAAAATACAAACTCCACAAGGACAGGATTCCGGCAGATAGCTTGGCAACCAGTCTCTGTTTACAACCACTTCCTCTGCCATTTCTACAAAGAGGCTGGAAAGCCAACATCCTCAATTTCCCAGCTTCCCTTGCAGCTAGGAGTGGCCATCTGACACACTCTGAGAAGTAGCCACAAGTCCCTGAGAAAGGTATACTTTCCCCAACAAAAAAGGCAGGGCCTTGCCAGGAAAAAATCCTCTGCTCTCACTCTTCCTCGTCCTTCTTGCTTGGAACCAAGATATGCTCCACAGAGGTGCAGCGGCCATCTTGTGATCACAAGGCAACCAAAATGAGCATGAAGTTCTCTGATCTAAGATTAACAGAACAAATATGTGGAAAGAGTTTGGATTGCTGATGGTATCTTTGAAGTATTATACCAACCCTAGATATTTTCTTGTGAGGGAGAAGGAAGCCTCTCTGTCTGTTTAAAGTACTCCTACCGGATCCAAGAGACTTACCTAATTCGTTGACAACTGCTATCCAGTTCAGGAACTGTGCCTGGCACAGAGTTGGTGCTCTTTAAAATTGTTCTAAATGAATGAATGACTTTCATATGTATGCGAAGCCTAGCTTTACGTTCTGCAATCGGTTCTGAGATGGTGCTGATTTTTCTGTTTGTATGTTTCTTGTTCATTTCCTTCCTCTAGACCCCAAGCCCCTTGAAGGCAGGGACAACAGTCTGTATGTTCACTGCCTGACATAGAATAGAGGCTAAGAAAATAAATGCATGCTGAATAACTAAATCCTTACATTAGCCTACAGTTGGGCAAAATCATCTAACACAAAATCATCTAACATATTTTGTAAGTTAAGTGTTGAATAGCTCATGTAATTTATTCGTGCTGTGCTGAAAGTGAGAAAACACAGTGGTTGTGCGGGTACAGAATGGTTGTAAGTATATCAGTTGTTTACCCTCGTGACTGCATGGCTGACTAGGAGCTGTGGCTCACTGCCACTGCCCAGCATCCCCGGAGAGGATCACACTGCATGCTGCCAGCCCAGGGAAAGATTCAGATTCAAAACTCAAAGTATGGTTTCTACTGAGTGCACATTGCTTTTGCACCATTGTAAAGTTAAAAAATCCTAGATCAAACCATCATTAAGTCAGGGAGCATCTGTACTGATTCCAGTGAGTCTAGATCTAATGATAACTACAATGACAGTAATAATAGAAGACACCTACGGTGTGCCAGGCACTTTTCTAAACCTTTTGCATAGATTAACTAGTAATAATCACCATAATAATATAATGTTATATTAATTAATAAGAATAGCAACTATAACAATTCTTGTAACAACCTTATGAGGTGGGTCCTCTTGTTACCCCTATTTTGCAGAGAAGGAAACTGAGGCTCAGAGAGATTAAGTGACTTGTCCAATGTCACACAGCCAAGAAGGGACAAAGCCAGGATTTGAATCCTGGCAGTCTGGCCCCAGAATCCATAACTACTGGACCCCTGAAAACATCAGAAGGACCCTACTTCTGGAAGGGGGAGTTCATTGCCACCCCCGATGACCTTTGCCTTTTAAGCTGACCCATCCCTGGCTGACCTCTGAGACTGCTGAGTAACCCCCAACTCCTGGCTGCTTCTGTGCATCCTCAGGGCCCCCAGGGCCCCCCCAGCTCCCCAGCCCGCATCTGCGCTGACCCTGCCTTGAGCTGAGTGAGCGCTTCCTCTACGCGGGGCTGGTTGTAGCGCACCATGTAGCTGTGCATGTCGGGGTAGTTGCTGCGAATGTTCTTCTCCGTGGACCCATTGGGCACCGTCCCAAACTTCAGGGGTGGGTACTGCTCCTGGGGCCGCTGGAACTGGGGCAGAATGGGAGTCATTAGGGGGCCACCCTCCAAACACATGCTCTCTATTCTGGGGGGATACCTGCCAACTGGTGGGCAGCCCAGTCCAGAAATGTTTCTCAGACTTATTAATCGTGACTCTTTTCTACTCCCCACCCAGCACCTACATCTGCAGATATCTCCACATCTGTATGCAGATATGTGTATCTAATCAGGAGTAATACTGAAATATTTAACAAGCAGCATGGTCTGATAATAGTCCAATCAGAAGTTCAAGAGTTCGAGAAGGGTCTTGGAGTTCCCTGATGTGCCAGGCATTAACCCTTAACTTGCTGGATCATGGAAGGCCCCAGGGCAGGTACAGGCA